GTTCCGGCGGCCACGCCGCCTTGGGCAGCCCGGGCCGCGCTGGCCCGCCCGGGTCCGCCCCGCGTGCAGGGGAGACCGGCCTGGGGCGCTGACGGATTCGGCGATCCGAAGGCTGTCTTTAAAAACTCATACTGGGCAGCCCCTTGGGGTTCCCTCCCACTGTGGAAGCTTTTCTGTCCTTTCAATAAATCCTGCTTTAAAAAAAAAAAACAAAAAAAAAACATACTGTGCCCGGCCTCGTCCTTTCCTTCCCGGGGGTCCCTTCTTAGTGGCGCTTAAGTTTTTTGTCTTCGCACGCCGCGTCCTCTGAGCTGAGGAGTCTGAGGGTTCGGCGACAGTTGTGCGGTTCTGTTCGTCTGGTGGAAGTGTCTGGCTCATCGGGATTTCTTGGGGTGTCCGAAGGATGGTGTTAGCTGGTCAAGATGACACAGGCAGAAAGGCGCCCGTCCTTCGGCCTTCTTCACCGTGTGTACTCAAGAGCCTTTCGGGGGCTCGAGTGAGCTAACGAGTGGCCTCTTGTTCATGCGATGGCCTCCATCCCTTCCCCCGCCAATTGCTTGTGTAGACGTTTGATGAAAACTTTTTTCTTTTTTTGAGTCGGGATCTCACTGTCTCCCAGGTTGGAATGCAGTGGCAGGATCACAGCTCCCCGCAGCCCCAAACTCAGGTGATCCTCCCGCCTCAGCTTCCCGAGTAGCTGAGACTACCGGCATACCCCATCGCGCCTGGCTAAAATGTTTGTTTGTTTGTTTGTAGAGATGAGATCTCGCCCAGGCTGCTGGTCTTGAACTCCTGGGCTGAAGCAATCCTCCTTCCTTGGCCTCCCAGATGTTGAGAGTTCAGGCATGAGCCACCACACCCAGCATTAGACTCTCGGGGTTGTTGATTTACTATCTCTTTTTGTCTTTTAGATCAAGGGTAAAATTCCATTCTGCTATCAAAATGCAGTATTCCCACCACTGTGAGCACCTTTTAGAGCGACTGAATGAACAACGGGAAGCAGGTTTTCTTTGTGACTGCACCGTAGTGATCGGAGAATTCCAGTTTAAAGCTCATAGGAATGTGCTTGCTTCTTTTAGTGAGTATTTTGGGGCGATCTACAGAAGCACTTCTGAGAACAATGTCTTTCTTGATCAGAGTCAGGTAAAAGCCGATGGATTTCAGAAACTGTTGGAGTTCATATACACAGGAACTTTAAATCTTGACAGGTAAAGTACACATTTTATTTTCAATTATAAAAGCTAGTCTTTATGGCTAAAGCAGATTTGTATTTTTTCCATTCATTCTCTGAACTGAGTCTTTAAATATCTGTGCACACAATGTTTTTAAAAAGTCGGTATCACTGGTTTGAAATGAGCAGGAACATTCTATAAGCACAAAAAGCACAAATGTTAAACAGTATTTCTGACACATTTATCTACTGAGGCGAAGCCTATGGCTTCAGTTATGGGAACTTAAAGATCAAACCCAATTAATTCTAAGTGATTTTCCATTCCCCATTGCTTTTTGGTCTTGATATTCCTCTGGCCTCTCACCCTCACTCTTTGTCCCTTACCTCTTAAGGTGTTTGGATGGAATGCAGGTGGGAAAAGAAGAAAGAAGAACCTGTGTCCTCATCTAATAGTGTTCCCATCGCCAGCCATAAATAGTAACAGTGTGCATAATCTCTTCCTGATCGCAAGTCTGGAAAATGACTTTGTTGAAGCGTGAATGGCTGTGACTCCTTTTATTATCTGTTAATCTGCCAGTACTGATGCATAGGTCAGGTCAGAAATGCGAGAATGCTTCCCTGAGATGCTTACTGCTGTCACTATGTTAACAAGAAGTGGGTTCTGAGGAATCTGAATAGCAGGCACCACCTGTCGCCCCTGCATAATGAGCACATAATTAGATAATTAGCAACACATTTACTAGTTGTGGAGGAAAACACAGAGGGGATAAAAAGCAAAAAGAAACTGATCAAATTACCCTGTCTAATTTTCTCCATCTCTTAGGAAAATGTTAACATGAGTAGGCTTTGGAATTAGATCTTGCCTGTCAGTCACCACATCTCCTCGAGCAAGATACAGTCTCTCTGGGCCTCAGTTTCCCTATCTGTAAAAGTGAGATGGTGATAACTATCTTACTGTTTGTTAACCATGAAGGTTGGGTAAGGATTCACTTGAAGGCCCACCTCTCAGTGCACGTTAATTTCCTTTCTTCGTTTTCTCTTGTTTGCCTCCCCTCTCCCTTTAATTCCACATTTCTTGGCGAAATATTAGAAAAACAAAAAAAAAAAAGGAAACTCTTGAGATTCTGCCACCCACTGATGACACTATTAACAGTTTGAAGTGTATTCATTCTTTCTTTTCCAGATGGTCTCTATGGAGATACCCATGTACACATTAAGCAGAATCCTTCCTTCCCTTTTATATTGCAGCTCATTGTGGAAATATACTTCTTGAAAATCTAGAATCAGAACTGAAATTCTTTAAGCTTTTTAAAAATGAAGCATTCGTGCTGTTTTGGAATTATTAACAAATTCTGATATAATCTTCAAGCGAGTCAATTTTCTATATGTTGGTTAAAGGATTAGAGCAGTGCTGTAGATTAATCTCACATGGTAAATTATTTAAATTTGCAAAGTAGTTGATTATACAGGCACCTCTGATCTAAGAATTTAAAATCCTTAATAGAAAATAACCACAAAACCAGTGGATTTGGGCTGACTTCAATTTAATGATTTCCTTTTCTCAATGAACTATGCCAGAAAAAAACCTTAAATTGGTTTGAACACAGGATAGAGCACCTTTCTTTGAGTCTTCATGCAAAGAACCAGTGTGAAGAACAGCCAAGTGTTGTTAAGTCTTTTTTGGTACATATGTTTCCTGGGAGCTGGGGAAGCTAATTCTTTGCATCCAACCAGAATGTAAGAGAGGACTTACCCCAACATAAGAAAGGCTTACAACTTAGTTAAGAAAACAGGCAGAATAATAGAATTAAGTGGGCTCAGGCAGAGTACCTTGGTCAAATCTTGGTTCTAAAACTCTGTGATCTTGGACAAGTTACTTAATTTTTTTGGACCTCTGGTTTTTCATTTGTATGTACATTGAGGATTATAATAGATGTCATAGGCATGTCCTGAGGATTAAGTGAACTAATCTCATGAAGAATTTAGGCATGTCCCTGGCAATATGTAATTAAATGACCTTCAGTGACTTCACAAGATGAAGGCAAGTGTGGAAGCACTGTTACCTAGTACTTATAAACGAAGGCATATTAATTATTGAGTAACCAAATGCTGATTGGCTCTTTTAGCTCTTGGTGAATTTATAGGCTGTCTCTGAAATAGTCTGTATACATGGAACAGTTACTGCGTGACTTGGTGCTAGTTTGTGTTGGTCTTAAAGGCTCCCTGATCTTGTTGCTTGTTGGATGGTTCATTTTATGGAGCACTACACAATTATAATTTGAGGCCAAAAGAACTTTTTTAGTTAAGTATAATAAGCAATGGAATAAATTTGATTTTCATTCTAATAGTATCACTCATTTATTGTTCTTTTTAATAATAGATTATGTAACAAAATAGGAATGCTTAAGAATAAATGTAAATTTCTAGACACTGATGATGCTGAATACATGTAGAAAATTGTGTATAAAAGGTGAATAAGATTGTTTTATATTTGGAGCATTTGTTGCTGTTTCTTTGCAATGAAAGATTTAACTTGATTACAAAGATCATCTACTATACATTTTTACATTTCAACCAAGGACCATAAGAAAATAATATCTTAGGTAAAATTTTCTTATCTAGGGGAAAGACTTAAACAGATTATATATCAAAAGGTTGTTCGTAATATATTTAGAAACATGGGGTGGACTTTCCCAGAGAATGAATTATTTTCTAAGCTGGTGGTTAGGTTTCTGAATTATTCGATAAATCTATAAACTCATAGCTGAAAAATTAAGTTTGTAATAAAAAACAGTTTTGGTTTTTGTAATTTTTTTGTTTTTTGAGTCGGAATCTCACTCTGTCACCCAGGCTGCAGTGCAGTGGCACACAGCCTTTGCAGCCTCAGCCTGCTGGGCTCAGGTGATCCTTTTACTTCAGCCTTTCAAGTAGCTGGAACTACAGGCATGTGCCACCATGCCTGGCTAGTTTTTTTGATTTATTGTAGAGACAAGGTCTCGCCAAGTTGCCCAGGCTAGTCTTGAACCCCTGGGCTCAGACAATCCTCTTGCCTCTGCCTCCCAAAATGCTGGGATTGCAGACATGAGCTACAAAAGACAGTTTTTTTAAAAGCCATTGTAGTGCTAAATAAGAGGAAGCATACAGGTGGCTCTTGAAACAAAGCAGGTTTTTGTTTTGTTTTGAGTCAGGATCTCTGTTGCTGAGGCTGGAGTGCAGTGGCACAATCATGGCTCACCGAACCCTCCACCTCCTGGGCTCACATAATTCTTCCACCTCAGTCTCCTGAGCACCTGGGACTACAGGTGTGTGCCACCATGCCCAGCCAATTTTTTCTGGTGACAAGGTCTCCAAGCTGGTCTTAAGCTCCTGGGCTTAAGCAGTCCTCTCACTTTAGCCTCCCAAAGTGCTGGGATTACAGGTGTGAGCCAACATACCTGACCTGCAAAGTGGGTTTAATTGGAAGTTGATGAGAACATGGGGAGAGATTTATAGATACTGTAGGATACTTTTAGGGACCTTGGAGGTTCATGACTAGTTACTGTTAATTTCACTTCAGATCTGAGTCCTTTTAAAAAAGTACCAGCACTTCATTTATATTGTCAGCTGTGATTAAAACCCTTTTCTGGCTTATCCTCATGATGAAGAGGGAGAGGAAATGATCTTCCCAGAGAACGAAATCATATTTAGGGAAAACATCAGGAAGGCGACTCGAGAGGGCTTGTGTGTTTGTGTTTGTTCATCCTCAAATCATTTAAAGGGTCATATTTTTAGTGTTCATACCAACTCAATATTAATTTTGTAGCTAAGAAAGTTGAAACCCCCAAAGACGCTGACTTACCTCATTAGCTCAGCTAGTGATGCCAGAGCCAGTGCTAGATTAACCAGACAACAACCCTTCACCACCTTGTAAACATCTGAAGGGCACAGACATTTTCTTATTTCTTATCCTCTCTCTTATTACCACACATAACAGTACTCAGTAACCATGGACTAGAATGTTGAACAAGGTGGCTTCTTTCTGTGGAACTCTACTAGGACAAACCCTCCAGCTACCTTGGGCTGAGTATCACCAAGCTGGGAGGATGCTGGAGAGGGCTGAACATCCTCTCAGACCTCGCTCCTCCAATGTGGTCCTGGGCCAGCAGCAGCAGCATCGTCAGGAGTGTGTTAGAAATGCAGACTCTGTGGCTCAGCCTGTAATCCCCCCGCCTTTGGGAGGCTGAGGTGAGTGGATTGCCTGAGCCCACGGGTTCGAGACCCGCCTGGGCAGCGAGACCTCATCTCTACAATAAATCAAAAAAAATCAGCAGGGCGTG